CCGGCAAGCAGGGATGTGATAAAATGTTTTATTTGTAGATAGTCTTGGGGTCAAATTCCGATGACTTATCACACTCAAAGCCTGGAGAAAGGCATTGCCTGATAATCAGAATAAGCACATTATTCCTGGAAACCTAGTTAGAGTTTGGCAGCTACCCAGCAATTCACATGTGACATCTTACTTCTACATAGGACTCAGATCTTTTAAGAAATGAGACTTGGACATCATCCTGCCATCACCATCAAGTACCGCATGTTGACTCCTCATATTGTGTATCTGAACATTAAAATCCTACTCACCTCTAATTAATCAAGAGGCTAATTGCTTATTGGCTGTTGGGACATGGATATTTTAGAAGTATTTCCCATGCCTTTTGTTTCACCCTCTACTAAGGGATCTTGGAAGGAAATATTTTATGAAGGTCAAGACCAGGATGAGAAGTCTACATGGGAGAGTTAGTATCCTGTGTTGCCTAGCCAGGTTCTGATTTAAGCTTCCCTCCCACTTAAAATGTAGCCCGGGAAATCCCTATCCCTGGGACTTCATTGCTGTCCATAGTTAACATCTAAATGTCCGTTTCTTTAAAAACCTGGTCACAGAAAAACCACGCCACTTTTATTATTGCTGCTTATTTTTCTTTAAAAAAAAAAAAGACCAACTTAACATAAATGCATTTCTGGACATATTTTAAAAATCTGCACAGATCTTGGGTCCGAGGCTCTTTGCCTTAAGCAGCCCATTTGGGGGAATAATTAGGACCCTCAGACCCATGATACTTGATGCCCATATATGTTTGCTATTTCTCCTTGCAACTCTCTTCTTTCCCAAGAGCAGGCTTAGAGAGAGAGGCACCGCTAAAATGATTTATAGCATGAGAAGTATATTTTGAGTCCTTAGAGGGCCTTGTGCAGTGGGATTGTTTGGTGTTAAATGTTGTCCAGCTCCACGTGGTATTAGGAAGTCAGGCGTGTCCCAGATGCCCATACATGTCACCGCCATCTCTTGGCAGCAGGCAGACCTTGAGAAAACAGAAAACATGTTACTGAGAGCCGTGCTGGCCCCAAACAATGAAGAATTTTCTGTTTTAATTACTGTCTCTGTGTGCCTTCCCCAAGTCCCAGAATTTCTCCATTGTGTCCTGTGACTTCTGGTTTACCCAGGGTTGGATCTGTTCCATTCATGTTGGTATGGTTCACACAGAAAAACCCAGAAGAGATCTGCTTTAACTCTGTTCTTTGGAGTTGAATACATGGCTAAATCCTAGACTGTCATTTTTTAAAAAGATGGAATAAGAAATATGAGGAAATTTTTCTTTAGCAAATGCCTATTTCTTGGGATTATTTTAATTAAGCAGAGTTGTTTGTTTGGTCTTTTAGGTAACAACTCTATTTTTTTAAAAACTTAGTACATTTTAACCTTTTCCTTCAGGAACATGAGCAACTCAAATAGAGTACTGGGAAGCATGTTAATAATGGGTCCAGATAATATAGGTATGTCCACTAATGGAAAAAGGCTTATAATGTGGAAAATGTCCAATAATATTTTAAGAAGAATTTGACTTAGAAATGCACCTTTTCCATCAAGCTGATTTATCTATTTACTTCTGTTTAGATTAGCATAAGGTACAACCCTCAATTATCTAAAATTAAAAGCTCTATTTAATCTTCCCTGAAATGCTTAATTTTTATAGCAGATTTAGCCATCTCATTTGACTTAATGAGGGAAAAACAACAACAACATACACAAATCCCTGAGGACCTGCTAGTTAGGCAGCTGGAAGAAGTGGCCCATGACTCTGAAAGATGTTTAAGAAGTATACTAAGGTTAAAAATTAAGCTATTAGTCTTTCTGTAGAATCTATGTAGGGTTTATAATTACCCTAATAAAATCTTCAAGGAATTTAAAAGCTAATTTTGTATCTTCAAAGGTCACCCTTACAAATCTGATGTATTACTATGTAAAGTGGTGTCTTATTTTATATTCGTAGAGTACCACATGGCATTACTTGATCATAGTCTCACTGAATTCAATGAATGGGTCCTGGTTGTTTTGTAAGAAATGGCTGAAAATCGTGTCTTTATGGATTGGCGAATGCTCATCTGGAGCAGCGGTTGCCAACCTTTGGGACCTCACGGACCACCGGTTGGCGATCACTGATCTGGAGGATGACCAGGCACCCTGAGTGCATGTCTAATAGCATACTTCTGCCAACACCAACCTCCAGAAATTGATATTTTCAAAACATGTTTATGAAGTGAATCTTAAGTATATTAAGAGAGACACCCAAAATGAATAACTTCATGGGAGCATGCTGCTTTTGTGTTTTAGTAATACGTTATTCCAAAATTAAGGTTTCTTAAAGAGGTGGTGAAGACCCACTCCCTGTTACCGGAGGACTTTGATCAGTAACTCAGGCCTAGTAAAGGGACTTAGTCATACATAGCATTGCTGTGGGAGCAAAGTAGAATAGACCAAATTCAAAAAGATAGTAAAGAATTCTTTACCCTCTTTCCTGAGGGTAATTGGCCTGCTTCTGTAAGAGTCTAATTTACCCTCAGCAAGAGGCCAAATCGGCCTTCATTGTGTCCTAATTATTTACTTAAATAGCTAATTTTTACCTCCAGTTCTCCTATTACATCTTGATACCTGTAGGAGGCTACTTCTGAGCAGCTGCCTAATTTACAAACATCTTTTTAACCCTTTAAACATCCCTGCATGGAAAAGCGTGTTGCTATATTATCCCCATTCCTGCATTCAGCATTTTTTTCTGAGTTCTGCTGTTTTTTCAACATTGGGAAAATGTTCTTGCATTATACATTCACACAGCAAGTATTGGTCTCCCTCAAAGCAGAATCATTTGTTTGAAAACATGAAAGTTGCTCTGGCCAAAAATTGGGGCATTTCAAAAGTATCAAAAATGAAAAAAAAAAATTACCCCCAATAGAACGAAACACCTGCTTTAGAGGAAAAAATGGAATGGTAGGATTGCAAATGGAGGTGGGAGCAAGGCATCTACATTACTAATTCTGGATACACGCCCATGGGGGCATATTTAGGGGATTGAAATATATTCTAGGCTGTTTTCCAGTAGTAGGCTCTTGTGCCATCTAAACCTTAATACAGACTTTCTCATGAAAACTTTCAGATTCCTGTCAACCCTACGATTCCATGTCATAGGGAAAGTTAGTCTGATATAAAAGAGTAGGAGGGAAAAGGATTTAGGGAGAGGAATTTAGAGGAAATAAAAGGAGAGAGGATCTTCTAAAACAGAGGTTCTCAACCTTCCTAATGCCGCGACCCTTTAATACCGTTCCTCATGTTGTGGTGACCCCCAACCATAAAATTATTTTCGTTGCTACTTCATAACTGTAATTTTGCTACTGTTGTGAACTGTAATGTAAATGTCTGATATGCAGGATGTATTTTCGTCGTTACAAATTGAACATAATTAAAGCATAGTGATTAATCACAAAAACAATATGTAATTATATATGTGTTTTCCGATGGTCTTAGGCGACCCCTGTGAAAGGGTCGTTCGACGCCCTCAAAGGGGTCGCGACCCACAGGTTGAGAACCTCTGTTCTAAAATGTTTTTAAAGTCAACCCAAAGCAGAAAAATCACATCTTTCCCAAGGAAAATCTAACCCCACTGGTTCCACCTGACCTCCAGCCTTCAGCCCTGTTACTGGAGTAATGGTGCGGTGACTCACGTGAGGCTGAGCGCAGTCGCCTACTTCAGGATGTCGGCCAACTTTTCCTCGTAGTACAGGAAGTTCTCCTGAATGTCCTCCCAGGGCTCAAAGGCCTTGGATTCGCCCTCTTCCTGCTCCACGAAATTCTGCCAGATGTACTCGAAGTCCTGGGGCTTCATGATGCGCAGCCTGCAGCCCGCCTCCTTCAGCTTCTTCAGCGCAGCCTGCATCTCGGGCTCCTCCCACATGAAGAGGCGCCCCACCAGGATGAGCAGGCGCAGGTTCTTGGTCTTGCTCAGGGTTTTGATGATGCGGTCGGCGCAAGCTACGCAGGGGCTGGAGGACACGTACCAGGTGACGTTGTAGCGCAGGGCCGGGTCGAAGTTTGGCACGACGGTGTTGAAGAAGGCTTCCTCCGCGTGGGCAGTTGCATGCTCGTCCTCGAGGTATCCCCGGGATGCCTGCACCTGGCCTCCCTTGTCCTGCACTTCAATCACGTAGCAGAGGAAGGTCTTGTTCCGCCCCGAGCTGTACTCCACATTCCGGAACTGGAACTTGAAGTAGTTAACAGGCAGCCGCTCCCTGTGGGGTGGAGAAGACAAAGGGACAGGGAAGAAGGGAGAATGATGAGTTCTTTGTAGGGCCAGACCTCCTCGGCATGAGGGACAAAAAGGCATGAAAGCATCCCACAGGGTTTCTCTGGAGGAAAGAGAATTTGGGGTGAGGGGTGCATTCTGGTCACCCCATCAGGAAGGGTCTCCAAACAACCAACATCACTTGCTGTGCACAAAGCACGCCTACATTTCTAAGTCAGTGTCTCTTTAAGCTGGCTCTACATTAGAAGCACCAAGGCTCTGCCAGTAATGCCTGGGCCCCACACAAAACCAGTTAAATCAGAACATCTGGGGGTAGGAGGGGCCAGGCATCAGCATATTAAAAAGCTCTCCAGATGATCCTAATTTGTGGCCAGGTTTGAAAAGCAGTGTTCAAATAGTAATTTTACAAAGTAGCAAGCATGTACAATTTCTCATGACAGCAGGACAAAGACTTCGCAGAACATTTCATACTTCGTTCCTCCTCCTTGTCATTCATGTATGTTGCATCTTCCCCACAGAATGGCCTACAGTTTGCAGTGCCACCACGCTCTCCCAGTGACTGTTTCTCAAGCCTGTCTTTTCCCTCAGGTGAAAGAAAGGTTGTCCTAGAATTTTTATCTTGGAGGCCACACTAAGGGTATCTTGATATGATTTAGCTTCTAAGATTTGGCCCCTCCAGATGCTTATAACCTAGCAGCTAGGTTCCAGCTGGACAGGAGAGATATAAATAAGACAGCTGCAAACACTAGAAAACTGCTAAAACGGAGTAGGCAGAGTGAAGGACATATGAAGGCTCTTGAAAGTTTAGCCTTGATTCAGGAGGCAATAGAGAATCGTTACAGGTTCTTGAGTAACAAAAGACACAATAAATCGCTTCTCTTTGGCTAAGATCGAGTATAGTATCTGTTCTTACCACTTTAATATCGGATACGGCCTCTACCCAAGGATGATATATTAAATGAATTTTTGGAGCAGGGAGGTGGAGTAGGAGCTTGCTTATCTCTTGCAGTACTTCCGGAATGGTGCACAACAAAGAAAAGAGAGAAAGACAGTAAAAGTCGTGCCCACAGAAGAGGACCGTGGTGGCTTTAAGCAGACAGCGTGAAGCTGGAGAAAGCCTGAAATAGAGACAGCCCACTGGAGTCGGAGGAAACCGGACTTGGTGGTGAATATGTCCAGTGGCTTCAATCAATCCATCAATATGTCCAGATGGATGACGAGGAAAGGAAAGAAGCAGAAAAAGGCCGGTTTTAAAAAATATCTATTTTTATTGATTTCAGAGAGGAAGGGAGAGGAGAGAGAGATAGAAACATCAGTGATGAGAGAGAATTATTGATTTGGCTGCCTCCTGCATGCCCCCTTTGGGGGATGGAGCCCACAGCCTAGGCATGTGACCTCCTGGTTCATAGGTCGACACTCAAACACTGAGCCACTGCGGCCAGACTTTGAAAAGTTTAGTAGTAAGAAGAAGGGGAGAAAAGTGCAGACAGACTACGAGACAGGACACCAGAGTTGAAGGTTGTTTCTATCTTCATATGGAGGGGGGTGTTTTTCTAAAATAGGAAGATCTGTGCAGGTTTGAAGGCTGAGGAGGCTAGAATAGGAGAGCGTGGCAATGCCAGAGGGAGAGCAGGGGATGACTAGCACCAGCTGGGCAGGTTGAATGTTTTCTTTTTAAAAAATGTCATCTCTGGGGAGCATTTGAGATCTTGTCCCCCCCCCCCCCACAACTCCCCCCCCCCCCCAGCAGATGTCATTAGTTTGGCTCAAATAAACTCATGACAATTCTCAAAATAAAAATAAAAACAAAAGTGCAATGTCTCTGGCTGCCCCAGAAGATAGCCTGAGGTAACCATTAACTTCTCTGCTGCTTCTCTCCCTGCCTGCTGTTTCCCCAAAGAGGTCAGCTAACTCCCTGGGCTGCCGGGGAATCCCTGGCATCCCAGGGCCTTGGCTTGTTAGGGGTAAGCAGCAGGTGCCAAAGAGCTGAGTAAACTTGAGCTGTTGCCCTGCAGGGTGCCCTTCCTCCCATCACCAACTTGATTCTCCCCAAGTTTCCGTGTCCCTTGCTGGCAAGTTAAGTTTCCACTTCGGAGATGGATGTGTTTGAGGACCCAGCCCCAGGGATTCCTTTGGGCGCTATACTTAGCTCTCTAAGCCCCTCTGTCCCTGGTTGGATGTGTTTGTTATTGACTTAGCATTCAGAGAGAATGGGTGACCCCGATGCTGCCCCTCTCCTCTTTCAGCCCCTGCTGGGATTAGCTCTCCCTAATAAACTCGCCCACCAGACCACTCCTGAACTTTGCGGTTGCTAAATGACCCCTTCTCTTCCGGAGTGGCTTTTCCCTTCCAAAAAGCACAGAGCTTACCTTTCTCGCCCAAGTCCTTTTTTGCTCTTCAAGGCCTTTTGCCAGACCATGCCACCCCACTTCACCCCACCCCGAGTCTAATCCATAGCCACCTGTATGATAGATTCTCAGAAGTCCTCACTTCATGTTGTCAATAAATCCTGTGACTTTAAGCAAAACAACATATAAGAACCCAATTTTACCATAGGCTTAACGATATAAACAAGATTTAAGTTCCGATGGCATCTCATCAATGTTATAATGAGACGTTGAAAAAGACGTGGTTATTGGAGGATCTGCTGTATTCATGACTTTGTGTTTGGCTTGGGGGCTTCAGCAATGGCTGTCAGTGGTCCCTCGGGTTTCCTTCTGGAACCCCCAGAAGTATTGCATGTGGCCAAGTATAGTCCAGCCTAGAGTATGAATTTGGCCCAGCGTGCAATTGCCAGTTGGCCTGATGGTCTGAGACTGCTGCTTTCTCAGCCCCTCTTAAGCTCTGGTGTTTTTCCCTCGTCCTTCCCTGGGCAAGGGGAGAGGACCGAGAGAAACGTGAAACCCAAGGGAGAGGAGGAAAGTTCACTTCTATAAATATCATTTTCCAACCCCTCTGCTCAGCAGCCTCATGGCCTACCCTGCCCCTCAGCAGAGACAATAGAAAGACAAAATAGATGCCTCAGGGAGGGAAGTGCTTTCAAGGGGCAAAGGATAGTCAGGGAAGGCCTTGGCTCCCAGCCTTATCTTTGGGCTTCCTCGGAGACTGGGTTTGCTTGGCTTCTCCAGTTTGGTCTTCTGGAAGGAGCATAAAGATCAAGTGATGATCTTTGGGAATTCCCACAGACTGAAAGAGCTGGGCCCCTGAGGGAAACCAGGGCAACAGATTTGTTTGAGCTCTGAAACTTCCCCAGGGAGCGAGGACAACGTGGTCATCTTGGGTGATTATACAGAATCACAAACTAAGCCAACACTATTATGCCCATTGGTAGAAGGGGAAACAGTGACACTTCTTAAATTAACACAAACATTTTTTTCTAAGTAGTATGATATGCCGGTGGACCACATTTACTTATGCTCTGAACCCCAGCAGATAAGTTACTGCTAAAGTGGTGTGTGTGTGTGTGTGTGTGTGTTGGAGTGGTGGTCAGGAGAGAGATGCAGATGGTAGAATTTTTTACCTGGGCTCAGTTGCTTATTCAGGCACAGAAACCAACAGCATTATTCCTACCCCCAGCCTCTTTAAGTACCACTGCTTGGTGGAGGGGAAGGGATGTGAGTAAATATACATACATATGTGTGTATACATATATACACATGTACGTATATACACACAGATATATATACACACATATATATGTGTGTATATATATGCACACATGTCTACAATAATAAAAGCATAATATGCTAATTAGACTGGACATCCTTCCGGACGAAGCCACTGTGGCGGGGGCCGAGCCCCTTGCATGAATTTCATGCATTGGACCTTTGATATATACACACATATATATATCCCCATGTTCACATTTAAAAACATTTGCGTTTCTGCAATTCTCTAGGCAGGAAACTGAGACTCCAGATAGCTAGGAAAAAATTGGGATGATGGTCTGCTTGGTGGAGGGGAAGGGATGTGAGTAAATGTGTGTACATATACATATGTGTGTATACATATATATACATGCATGTATGTATATACACATATACATGTGTGTGTATATATGCACATCTAAACAAAAATCTATACAGTGAAAAGAAGCAACCTGGAGGGCAGTAGATGCTGGTCTGAGATTAAATATTTGCTCCAAGATAATCTAGGGAGTGGAAAATCCATTCACTGGTAACTGAGTGTTGACCCATTTCAGCTTTCTTTCACTAGACCTGCTCAAAAGAGGCAGAATTGCCAGTTTTAGGCTCCTTTTTCATTTTCAGACAACTTCCAAAGTGAATGCTAAAGTGGGCCTCAACTGAAGGGGGAGTGGAGAGAAGCTGAGAGTTGCACTGAGAAGGGGTGTGGTGGGCTGCCTGCTCCTGATTGGCAGTTCTGGATAGGATTCCGACCTAGGCAGGCCCTGAGTCCACGCCTTTTCCCTGAGCAGCACCATCTTTACACTGAGCTCTGACCTTCCACTGGCTCTCACTGGAGAGGAGACCAGGGTGGTCAGAGTCAGTGCTGTCTTCTATTCTTTTTTAATATATATATATTTTTATTGATTTCAGAGAGGAAGGGAGAGGGAGAAAGAGATGGAAACATCAGTGATGAAAGGGAATCATTGATCGGCTGCCTCCTGCATGTCCCCTTAACTGGGGATCGAGCCTGCAATCCAGGCATGTGCCCCGACCAGAAATCAAATGGTGGCCTCCTGGTTCATAGGTCTACACTCAGCCACTGAGCCATGCCATCCTGTCTTCTATTCTTTATGGACCAAACCTTCCCAGCATGCTCCAGAGTCCAGAGTAAGGGGTTGTGGGGCTTGTGGTATTAACAATGGTGTGAAGGCCCCTCACTCCTTGCCTGTCCCTTTCCTTTGAACCCTGCCTTGTCCCTCAGCCAGAGTAAACTACTGGAAGCTAAAGCAGTGTCCAGAAGGGAAATCACTGCATGTGCCACTCATCTCTGCTCCATAATAACCCCTTGATAGCAGGTTCA